TTTCTCACCATCTAAATATTGTGTGCTCGATGTTGAAACGAACTAGTTTGGCAAGAACAATTTGCAGAATGAACCAAGTCACGAATTTAAAGTGATGTTTTTTGTCCGGTCGAAACAATGAAGTTAAACGTGGGCGAGTGAACGTGGCTTACGGTTATCATGGCACAACCTTTTCCAGAATAGTAAACTTGATATATTGTAGTTAACCTGTCCAATTTTAGCGCAGCTGCACACAACAATTTCGTACAAAGTCTTCCCATTAGTCTATATGGACTAGATAGGGGAGTGATAGCCGTACGACCGATGGCAGCAAAATCCGTATCCAGTAGACAAGTTAACTAAGATTTAATCAAATACCTTATAGGTGAAATTTAGTAGAAGTTTTCCACGACGCAATTTAGAAAGATTAGTTTTATTTTAATGAAAATCTCACTCTCTGGGTCAGGTGTAATACGTGAAAGTATTGTAAAACGCATCTTTTTTTTTCTTTAGCTAGCATGTCATTTTAGCCAACTTGTAATTTCGCTATTTCAAAAGATCGCTAATTTAGAATAAAGTATATTCTCGTAATGATATTGTTGGAATTTTAGCTAAATTATGATTGTTAATTCGTGCATGTATCTAGTCAAATTCGCTAAAAGGGCATGTAGCCATTTCAATACGTTTTACAGTATTTCTCGATGCGAGGGCGCACTTCCCTATATAGTGACTAGAATTCCTAGTATAAAACTACTCAACAAGGCCGGGCAAAATGACTCGTACAAGCAAAGTGCGTGTATTTAACTGAACTCCGATCAATCTTTGTTGATTGAGTCAGCTAATTATATTGTCCGATTCATACAAAGACTTCTAGATTGTTGCATATACAAAACTTATCTCTTTGCATTTCTGGAAGCTTCGAAATATTAGACACATAAAAACCACGCCAAAATTGGATGGAATTTCTCATAATTAGTTAAGTCTGCTGATCACAAACCAATTAGCAAATGAGGGGATAATTGCAATAAAAAATCTGGCACAACTAAAAAAAGTACATTTTTTATT